ACTTAGTTATTGCTCTTCCTCTTTCCATATAGCTTTTAGGTGACCGTTCCTTGAGAGTGGATATAGCAGAGGGCAGAAAACAAGATAATAAAGGTGGCTTTGGTTTCAGGAAAGGAGGGTCAGATGACAGAGGTAATTTGTTTTGTTGAGTTTTTGAATTCTAATCGTAATTTGAGTCCTTTCCAATTTTGTGAAATGATCTTGTTGATTTTGTATTGTACATAATGTATACATGTAAACCATAGTTGCACTTTAGTTTTTATATAGCTTACTTTGTAGAACATATGCAAGACTTCTGTTTCAACTGTAGATAATTTAATTCCTCCTAAAGAAATTTGAAATCAAACAATAGTGTATTCCAGTAAGGTGTGCGTATAAAGAATATATTTCTAAAAGATTTTTTTTTAAGTTGTGAGGAATCTATCAAATATAATTGGGTATTTTTTTTGTTTGTTTTGTTTACATGACCATAAATTAGCATCACCATACATGATCTAATAAAAAAAACAAGCCGTGAGATAAATTTTGTCTCGTGGACTACCTCTTTCTCAACATTAGGAAAGGATAGAACGGCATGTAAAATTCTGTTTTTTTTGTTGTTTTTTTTTACTGTAAACAGCAATCACCAATGCACATTTTGAGGGTACATCGGTCTGGTTTATTCTTTCATTTAAAAGGAACTGTGTGCCCTCAAATCATGCCTTGCTGATTTGTAGTATTTCAAGCTAAAAAAAAAAGAAGCTGTATTTTACATAAAGTGCTGGTCTTTCTATATGCTTGTGTATTTAACAGCACCACTACTGACCATGCACCCCGGAGACAGCACAAAACAAGAGGTCTATGTGTGGGATGAGACTTTTTGTGCTACTTTCATTGCTGAGTTTGAGTGAATTCTAGCACTTCTCCCATCACATATAATTTTTTATTTTTATTTGGAGAGAGAGAGCTGACCATCTGTGGTCACACGTCCTTAAATGCTGCAATGTAGTTCAGCCTACACTGCTCCAGCCTTCTATGGCTTGGGTCCTCAAAACAATATGAAGTGTTTTCATAAAACGTTTGACTGAACCAAATTATTAGGTTTACCCCACAAATTTAACCTATGCAGCACTTGGAAACTGGGATTGTGCTTCCTGGCATTTCTAAGGTGTATATTCTCTGGTTCCTTTCCCTCCATGTTATTGTTGTATGAGTAGGGAAGTAAGTCTACTTGATATAGTGTATCATGGCAAGCTTTCCTCCAAGAATTGGTTTACAAATTTACTTTACATGTGTTTAGATGGCAGAATATTTACTTTAAAAAGGTTATTTGACTGAACTAAGGAGGGGCACTATTCTTAATTGGGTTCTTTTAAAGTGTATGTGGGTCAAGTTTTCCCTTCCCTGACATTTTGTGTTTTGCATTTCATGTAATGCTTTCATTGTTAATCATGGTACAATGTCTACTTTTTATGTAGAGTACAATGGCCTTTTTATGTAGAGTAATAAAAAGTGAGCAATTTCATAACCTTTTTTTGCAGTTGAAACTGTTTTGGTGAAGTTAGCCGATGCAGTTGGAGTTTGGCCTCCGATTCAGCTCTAAAAAAATATATATATAATAAACATGCTTTTTCAATTAGATTTCATTTGATATTGCCTTATTTTTTCAGGACCCGATAGTTTCGGCTCTAGAGGAGCTCCAAAAGATGACTTCAATTCTGGTAAAGGATACATTTTGTACTTGCTGACAACCTTCATGGTTATCACTATGGTGGAAAACTCTTTGGGCACTAACTTTCACTTCTGACATCAAATATTCATTCTCCTATATCTCCTGGTTATTACTTTTTGTTTTATAGATTTTTTTTTTGTGTACTTCATGATTACGTTTATCTCTGCCTTGCACTATTTTTACACTCATGTTTTTCTGAACGTTAAACCTTTTTTCAAGGGTAGAAACAGTACCCTCTCCTGGTGTTGGTTGGAACTAAAGTAGAACTCTGCCTATTATTTTTGCTTTCTGGAGGTGGACAGGGTTTTGGTGGGATTGAAAAAGTTGACAACTTTTTCAATAATCAATTATGTCGATTAGTTGTTGCAGCCCTAGTTTTAGTTCTGCACTATAACCCCAACATGCTTATGTGTCTGCTGTTACCTGAGCATTTCCCTGGCTCTGGAGTTGCAAGAATGTACTTGACAGCTGGTTTGAAAACCCCTTGGCTATATAGCAGTTAAACACACCCTGGGAATCACTTAAAGCAGGTAATGTGATGGGGGTTAAAACACTGCTCACTTGTAACTTAGCAGAGAGTTTTAGGTAGCATTCTACTTTGTCTGCTTTTTTTTCTTCTCTCAATTTGTTAATGGTGGACTATAAATTGAAATTTTGTTTTGCAGAGCACCATTTGATGTCTGTAGAGGCAATATACTGTATAAATGTAAAATGGGTATAAATAGACCACCTTACACTCACACTTCAAACAGCTTCCATGTGCGGTTCTCTCTCATCCATTTTTGGCATGCATGTGTAATTTTTGGTAACTATGGACACAAACTGTAGACCTGAACTGCTACAGTAGCGTTGGCTGCTTATTAGGACCACAGGAAAAGTCAGGTCATTGCCTAAATTATTTAATGCAAACTGGAACCTTATTGCTGTAGGCAATAGCTAGGGTTTAGTCTCCCTTTGCATTATCTCCATTATGTGCATTAATTAAGTTGTCTGAAGCTGTTGCAGGTATCTTCTGTGTCCCCCAAATCCAAACCAATCCAACATATCTAAAGGTGGCTATACACTTTACAACCCTCGCAAGACTTTTGTCTTGCGAGGGTTGTAAAGTAATTTAAAAAAACGTACGATCTACCCATCTCAGACAGGCAGATCGTACTTGCGATCATTGACCGCAATGCTGAACAGGCACTGTACACACTGCCAGTGATGTCCGCCTCATGCAACTTCTTTTGATGGGGGGACCCTGCTGCACTGCTAATGTGTTTAAAGCAGTATTGTGCCTCATGTAGGCTTGTCCCAGTGTGCACTACAGTGAGAAATGTAGACTCTGCAGGGGTGTAGCTATCGGCCTTGTTCATTTCAGTCAGCAGCTAGTCACACCTAGTCCTGCCCACTGCTTTCTGAATTGGCAGAACTGTTGCTGAAACCCTCCAATTGTAAGCTGCAGTGCCTGGGAGGAGCACGTGTGACACAAAAATGAAGTAGGCTATGGCTGTGTCAAAGGAGGTAGTCTTTTAATTTTTTTTTTTTTTATTGGCTTTAAAACCTGTTTAGAATACCATACAGGACTGATATACTCTTAACGTGCATTGTTGTACATGTTCATAAAAAGTGTTTGTGAATGTCATTGGCTTAACTTATTTTGAAAACCGTAATGTTAAATGTAAGTTTCTTTTGTGTCCATTAAGGGACACGGGAAGTCTTAAACTTCATTATACTGCCATCTACAGGAGGATTGGACACTGTCAAACAAAAATACTTTAGGCCAGCCCAGGACCCCTCCAACAACCAGCATGTCTCAGATGTTTGCTAGTGTCCTGGGAGGATAGATGTCTTTTCTTCAGCTCTGCCGGGAAAAAGACTCTCCTGTGTTTTTTGTTAGCACCTCCAATATTTTTCCATTGACTCAATATTCCTGCATTGCTGCTAAAGCTTGTCTCTGATTGCAGCTGTCCATCACAGCTGTCTTCAACCTGGCTTTTGGAGGTCTATGTCCAGACCCCACTGGACTGGAAGTTGCAGATTAGCTTGGAAGTGACCTACAGGCACTGGGTTCCGTGTAGGGCACTTTGCAGATCCCGTTCTGTAGGATAGCCACGGAGTGCTTCTGGTTCCAGAGCCGTTGGCAGTTCCTCAATGCTTGTCTTGTCTCGGTTGATTAGCTTTGTGAGTAGGCCAGTTGGGTCAAACAGCAGGAGCTTGTCGGGTATTAGAACCAGATTAATAATTCTAAACTTTCAAAGTATTTTATTAATTTTCCAGATTAATAATTCTAATTGATGCGTGCCTCCACCTACTTTTATCAAAAGTAGGAATATTTATGCATGATAAAATATAATATTACCTAATTATCAGGAGATGGTGATCTTGTTTCTGTCTTGGTTGATTAAAGACAGCAAAATAACTTTGTAAAATAATCAGAGATATAAAAATTATAACAATAATTTTACTTTCTACAGGGGACTATCTTACAATGATTTAAACATGGGATACACCAAAATACAATATTGAAGGAAAGAAATTAGCAATAAAGCTTATAGTCATTCACAATTTTAAATATATGTAAAATACACCAACTACTTTAGATGAAAAGATTTAAAGTCAAACCAGCCCAGGATTACGTCAGTATTCGTCTCCACGGAAAGGATATTCATCAGGTCACTCTCCTCAAAACGTGCGTTAGGAATTGGAACCTCAGGAAGTCCTTCAGTGCATGATTTTAGCTAGAAAGTCAGGGAGCAGGAAGTGCGTTCAGTAAGCCAGGTAGTGATCAAGAAGTGACCTTTAGCGAGTGAGCCAACGACCTCCCCCCTCTGCTTGCTAAAATTCGCTTGCAATGTTTGTAAGTGACATCAGCAAAGCTTATTTGTTGGGCTATTCTAAGCCTGGGAACCTCTTTCCCATTGGCTTTGATACCTCTGATGCTTTGTTGTATTTGTTCTGGGTGTGTCTATGCAAGATCACTCCTGGTCACTAGAAGCCGCTATGGTATAGGAAATCCTCTAGCTAACCTTTAGATTTCCTAAGAACGAATTTTGCAGCTATTTTGTTGACTGACAGAAATGAATACATATCAATTAGATATATACATAACTTCGTCTTATAATCTAAGAGGAATATAACATGGGTACAAAAAATGAAAAAAAGGCCTCAGTCATGAAGGGATTAATTGTTAATAGGGACTTTGGGAATTGTTAATGTGTGTTTAGTCTTTTATTATTCTTTGAGCTGGATGATCAATTATCTGATTTATTTCAAACATTGACCCCCCACATTGTGACAAATACAATTTCATGTTAACCCATGAAGGCGAAACATAAAAACCCAGATCTTAATGGGGAAAAAAAGAAATTTCTTTGAAATCCCCGATGGCCAATTGGTCGAATAGCCATCGAGCAACTAGCATTATTCCCAGGGTAACGTCCCTAATTCTCATCTCAAAGATAGATATCATTTGTCGCAATTGGTAGTCTTTTTCTTACATTCTTAGCAGTTGGGTTACAATCATATATGTGTAATCATTCTCAGAAATATATCTAGAAATACAATGGGGGGAATTTATCAATAACCAGAGCAGACAAAAACTGGAGCAGCTGTGTATGGCAACCAATCAGCTTCTGTAATATCTAAATTGCCTTGGCTTCCTGAAATAAGCTAACTTGCTATTCTCTGCTTCCAATGATGATAACAGTTAAGATTTGAAAATGAAAGAGAGAAGTTGATTGGTTGCTGTGCACAGCTGCTCCAGCTTTGATAAATTCCAGTCGGGGCTAAGAGCATCTAAGAGCTCCATAGGGAGGTGGATCAAAATGGCTATACACCAAGCTTATGATCTACAAAATCTGAAAACACCACAACAGGTGACGGCACACTCCACAAGGGCCTTGGCCGCCTCCTGGGCTGAAAGAGCGGGGGCTACCCCAGATCAAATTTGCAGAGCAGCAACCTGGTCCAGTTTCGCTACATTCGTCAAACACTATAGGGTGGATCTGACGTCAAGCCAAGATCAGGCTTTCGGAAGGAAAGTACTGCAAGCCGTGGTCCCGCCCTGAATTGTAAGTATGGTGCTCGTTTATCCTCTCTAATGCTGTCCTGGAAGGTGACTAGAGAAAATTGGAGTTACGTACCTGGTAACTCTGTTTCTAGGAACCTTCCAGGACAGCAGGGATTCCCACCCGATTAATGGTGTGGCTTGCTGCGAGATGCCGTACTTTGTGAGATTGAAGTACATATATACATATGTATAAATTCTGTATGTGTACATCTTCCATGAGACGGAGTTAGTGATGTGGTATCCTTCGGTTCTTATGTTTTAACTGAGGTGTGCTAGGCTGGTACTCTTTTTATTCTAGGTGTGGGTGATGTGTTTCCTGTTTCCGGTGGGAGGAGCCTATCTCTCTAATGCTGTCCTAGAAACAGAGTTACCAGGTACGTAACTCCAATTTTTTTCATAATCTTCTTTTGCATAAGTTAATTGTAGTTCACTAGTGGAAACCAGTTCTGGCCAATGAATTCCTTTTATATTTGATTTAGCCTTCCCATTTTAAAATAATAGCTTGGTTTTGAGTTTCCAGGCCACTTTCTTTGAGGCGTTCTTCTCTCAGGGGCTGTAGACTTAAAGCGGAACTTTAACCATATCTTTAAAATAACAAACACGCCTTTAGAAATGTTTACTAATGACAATCTACAAACACATACTTCTAGATAATTGCTGGCTTTGTATTCTTTGCATATCTTATTTCTCTTTTCTTCCCCAGTCTTCTGACAGTGGCTATATTAACTAAGGGCAGGTTATTAAATCTTTTACTTCCTGGAACCCTGGCACATGTGACCATGCACATGATGTCAGGGGAGGAAATTGCCTTTCCCTAAGATCTCATGAGATTACAGATGAGATTTCCCAGCAATGCTCTGCTGATATAACCTTCCCAGGATGCAACTCTTTGGCACTTACATCATTTGTGCTAGAACTGGACCAGCAAGTATATG